CAAGCACTGCCCTTACATTTGAGGGTATGCAGACAAATTCAGTCACAGACCTCAAGGGGCTCATAATTCAGGGCTCAGAAGTCTAAGAATAGAGACAAGGGCCAGGTGCAAGTGTGGGCCAGAGGGAAGAGGGATGGATCACAGCTGGTGTCAGGGAAGTCTTCACTGTGATGATATTTGAGTCTTTGAAAATATAAAATGGACACTGAGAATCCTATCACCAGAAAGGAAACACTGAATATTTGCAAGATGCAAAGCAATCTTCCAAGATGCAAAACTGGGACTTTGAGAAAAGCCTACAGATTCAAGTGTGGATCAGCAGCTTGAGTGAGATTGGTTCTGTCAACAATTTACTAGGTACTTTAGGCTCGCCCCTCAAGCGTCCCATAATTTCAGGGTGCCTCCTAAATAGAAATGAAAATATTATTAGAAAGTTCGTTTAAATAAACCTCCTATATAAAAAAAAGACCTCTTTCCCATTTGTTGAAATAAGAGAGTCATAATATTTATTTCATCAAGGGGGTGTGAGGCTTAGTCAGGATTCATTTACTTCATTACTCCTTCTAGGGCACTTGAAAATTTATATAATCCCATTTGTGGTTTGTCAGACCAGACTTCACGAGGATTTGAGGAGAAATTGTATAAATGTGAATGTTTTTATCGAGTTTTTCTCTTCCTTCTTTCAAGTATAACTAGCCTTACTCTAGCTTTTCCAACCCTCCACTCCTCTCTGCATGCTCTGCCTCATTAATCGCTACAGAACCTTCCTTAGTGGCAGGACCCCCCATCTCCTCTACACTTACTTCATTCACTATGCTCTTACTGCAAGTCCGGTTTGCATGCTTATCTGTTTCCTCAAGTAGACTGTGAACAACCAGAGGGTATCAACCATCTCTTACCTGTTTTTTTTTTTTTTCTTTTTTTTTTGAATCTCCAGCACAACTAGTTACACAGTGACTAGCAGAGAAGAGGTGATTAAATAAAGGTTTGTTAAGTGAATGAGCGCCCAAACCCTCTGCTCTTGTTACAAGACAAAACCCAGCCTGTGCTCTCTGACGATGCAGCCTATCCTCCTGTTCTTCAGCTGCAGCTCACTCTACCCCAGGACCTCCCCTTTCTGACTACCTGAATTTTATCTATTATTTAAGGCAGAGGTTCCCAACCTTGGCTGCACATTAGAATCACATGGGAGAGCTTTACAAATAAAATAAACACGGATGCTCAGCTCTACTGGCAGAGATTTTGATTTAACTGGTCAGGGTGGGGCACTGGCATTGGTATAAATGCTCCTGTGATGAGCCTTAAGTGCAGCCAGGTTTGAGAACTACTGATTTTTTTCTTTTTTCTTTTTTTTTTTTTGAGACAGAGTCTTGCTCTGTCACCTAGGCTTGAGTGCAGTGGTGCAATCTCTACTCACTGTAACCTTTGCCTCCTGGGTTCAAGCGATTCCCTTACCTCAGCTTCCTGAGTAGCTGGGACTACAGGTATGTGCCACCATGGCAGGCTATTTTTTTTTTTTTTGTATTTTTAGTAGAGATGGGGTTTTACCATGTTGGTCAGGCTGGTCTTGAACTCCTGATCTCAGACGATTCACCCACCTCAGCCTCCCAAAAGTGCTGGGATTACAGGCATGAGCCACTGCGTTCTGCTGAGAATCACTGATTTTAAGGTAATACTCAAGTCTCACCTTTTCCTGAAAAGACTTAATATGTTTCTGATGATGTTACCTTCCTTTGGATTCAAAGCAGTTACTGTTTTAACCACTCATTAGACAACAAATCAAACACTGCCTTGTGGCAGTACCTCAGTATTAGTTTGTTTGGACCTGGAGGGCAGGAACTAGTCTTCTACTTCTTTATATGCCCATGCCATGCACAGGGTAGACCAAAACATATTTTTGATGGTTTAAAACAACAACAACTACAAAAAGTAGGAGAGGCCATTTTAATTCTACTCTAAGAACATGTCTTTGGTAAGAATAAAAATGTTGCAAAAAGGGTGGGGCAGGACTGAAGCAGAGTAGGAAAAGAGTAAATAAAAGTCAAATGGAAAAAAAGCTAAATTAGTCCAAAAGAAAATGTTTTCCAGCTTCTTAAGAGAGTTTTTGCAAACACTGAAGCAGAATAAGCAAGAGAATTAACTTGGCTTGTGGCCCTGATAAGGAGATTTCTTTCTTGGTTCTAAAATTTTGCAAAGTTTCCAGGGTGTAAAGAAAATAATCAGCCAGGGAGGACTCCTTCCCTCGGACGACACAATTCAGTTCTTGGGTTAATCGGCTTGAAGGTCTGCTCAGCTTGACCTGACCCCCTTCCAGGACTGTGATCTGAAACTAAGCCTCACATTCAAGAGCCCTGGTGTAGAGCTCAATGTCATAGAAACGGGATAAAACATAATCCTCATCCCATAACCTTGATCCCTGGGTGTAGTGGCCTCTGCTAGGGCATTGAAAAAAAAAACCTAAAAATCAAAAAACTATACCTGTTATCTTCTCTAAGTGGCTGGTGTTCCAGAGGTCTAACTACCCTAGAATGATCCAGGCACGTTCTGCTACTAAATGGTGTTATAAGGAAGTGCTACTTGGTGCAATTACTTTAAATGTTAGCTTTAAAGTACTGTTTTGTGCACATATCCCAGAAAAGGCTTAGCTTCATACGGCTTCTATAGTTTTTCATAAAAAAAAAAAAAAAAAAAAAAACACAGGAAAGACTCAGGGAATCACGAAGCACACCCTCTGCTAAGGCAAGATAAGGTCACCAGACAGAGACACGTTTTCTATATCAAACTTTATTCCAGTTATTAGGTCACAGGTTTAACAACTGGTCCCCAAAGGCATGCATATTTCTATCGATTAATAAAATGGATGTTCTTTGCCTGGGTTGGCCATTTTAACACTGGCCATGTTTTACATTAATTGTTTGAAAACATGATTCCAAGGCATCTTATTGCTTAGTAATGATAGTAACAAGTTGTCTTTTGTAAATTAAGATAACATGACTGACCCATCTAATGGGATGTGAGTTGATGAACTGTCACTGATCCATCCACACTTTGCTCCTGGTTCTCCTTATGACCACTGGCCTGCGTTTGACCTTCTCAGCCAAAAGCCAAGAGCCACCAACAACCTCCAGTCACCAAAGAAACATAAAAAAATAGCATTTGTCCTACCAGCTACTTCCTGTTGACACTGACTGGTTAATTTATTAAAACAAAAGAAAAAGTAAAATATGGCTCTGACTTCTTTATTCACTTATAAATTCTAACTGGAATTAGTAAAACTAGGATTTAGGAGCCTTGATTTCATGATACCATATATAATAGACGAAGTCATAAACTCCGTGTGTAACAGTAAGAATGGCTTCTAAAATCTAAAATCTAAAGCAGAGACAAACTACAAGTTTTGAAGGAGTGGGATGATCAAAGATCCATGAAAATGAATGAGTCAACACTGATTCACGAGGAATTTTGCTTCCTCTGATAAAGTTTACATAGGCGTGTTTGACAATCCTTAATGATATCCCTGAAAGGTGCAACACAGCTATTTAGCATGATTTACTACCAAAGGTCATTAGATTCTCCAGGAATATTTTGGAATGTGTTCCACTAAAAAGAGAAATAATAGCTTCAGAACCTGGGATACCGGACTCATCAGGGAAAAGGTACCATTGAGGTAATGAGTAGTCCAGGGCCTGAAAAACTCAAGAATGTTTCCCTGAGTAGAAACAAGCAATTCTATCTTCTCAGGCATGGCTGACTTGATCACCAAGCTGGAATATTATTTACATAGTCCAAGGCAAACCAAGAAGAATTCTCTGGTTTATAACCAAGGGCATTTGGAAAATTATGTCTAGAACAGGCAATAGCTGATGCCTGTTTTTGATGATTCCTGCTTCCTTGGAAAAGAGCCAGTTTACCTAATGCAGGTAAAGGCAACAACAACTTTTCTGCCATTTTCTCCAGAAAGGATCACCAGAGTGACATTTCATGCCTCTGTATCTAAATAGCCTGGATTTGATATATATTTAGCAAGGTGGGCAAATCTGGCTTCTGAATTCTGTCCTATCCAAAAAATCAAAATAATCACCCATCTTCTTCTTCCTCCTGCTTTTAGGAGAAACTAGATTGAATCTGGTCACACAGCAGGATACAATTGAGGTTAGTCATCAGGAAAAAGACATTTTTTTATTGTGAAACATTTTACCAAAGCTTTACCAAAGAAGTCAGACAGTGGTGTCCTTTTCTTTGGAATGAAGAATGAAGAGAGAAGACTTAAAAGGAGGTAGAAGGTAAACTTTCTGGATGTAAGGGAAGGATTCTCACTTTTGGCCAGTATAGAAACCACAAATAGGGAACTCTGAGATGGTGATCAACCATTTGGAGGTCTTTCTAGCATCATTCAGTACTTTACACTACAGGCGTATGCATTAATGAAAAAGTACCTATTATCTGGGGAGTAGTTTATTCACTTGGCAGCAGCTGCTGGCCTAAGATTTTCTTTTTTTTTTTTTTTTTTTTTTTTGAGATGGAGTCTCGCTCTGTCGCCCAGGCTGGAGTGCAGTGGCGCAATCTCGGCTCACTGCAAGCTCCGCCTCCCGGGTTCACGCCGATTTTCCAAGGTACACATACTCCAAGAAAAAGCATCATCATTATTTAATTCATATGCAAATTATGTAATCCTCAACAAACACATTCTAAGTGAAATTATCATTTAGAGATAGAGAATTGGATACCCTTAGAGACGTGGTCCTTGGTCACTTACAAATATCAGAGAAATGCTGACTTTGTGGGAATCAATTCTTACATATTTTCCTGTGTGTGACTTGTCTCCCCACTTTATTATAACTGCTGTTGGGACAAGCAGAAATGCTGATTTCTTTATGTCCTACTAGCCAGTGCAGGCCCAGGACAGACAATGTAGCCAGCATTTTCAGAAGATGCTCAGATTGCTCAGTACATCTCATTCCCCAACCTTCATAGTCAGAGAATACTGTCAAAGCACTCACCTGTCTTCTCTCTGAATCAAGGTACTGGAGGATCAGCCGGGTATTCACACTGTGACTCCAGGTATTTCCTAGTGCAGCTATCACACAGCTGGATCCAGAAGTGCCTGAAATGAAATGGTAAAAGCATGCTTTCAGATGCCCTTTCTTGAGATGGCATTTCACATGAAGTTCAGACATTACTCATTGCCCAGAGAGCACTTGGAGGCTCAGTTCATTACCACAGAACTTGAGGAATTAGTGAAGTAGGACAGGGGTTAAGGAATATGAGACAACAAACCAGCAGGGGTTTCCTTCAGCCTGGGTGAAAGTGACCACTACTGGGCCAAATAATAACAGAGTTATATATCAAAAAGAGGTTGCATTGCAAGACAGCTCAGAGCCATTGCTACTAGTAAATGTAGCCGTTCAATATCAAAGGCATAATGCTACTCCACAGAATAAGAACCAGTTATGAAATAGTCTTAGTTTAATAGAGTTGTTAGACATTTTTAGCTCGACAAGAGTCTTAACTCAATTTTCCTTATCAATATAGAAATCGTGGCATATACATATAAAATTCCCTTGTCCTCCCACCCCTTGTATACACACACCCAAAAAAGGAATCTGGAAGATCTCAAAATTTCACAGGTAATCTGTTTTAGACATCCCTATTCCAAGAAAAACATTCCTTTACCTTCTAAGACTTTCCTATAAGGAGGAGGGTCTGAAGTAAACTTTATCTGAGTTCCTAGCCTCCTCCAAGTTGCATCTTACATCTCCAAAGCTTTGCTGACCCTTCTTGACATCACCATGAGAAAACCCTTTCTGCTCCCTACCTCCTCCTTCCCCCTTGAAGGCAAGCCAACAAGTCCTGCCGTATAGAAGCCAGCTCCCACTATCATGTCTAGCACATCCCATGGCCTCCTCTGAACCCCTGTGCCCTGTGCCCGAGGGCTCTTCTGAACCCACTTTGGCCCTGGGCCATGACAGGAATCCTAACCTTAGGAGGGCACAGTTGGGCATTTAGTGTGCCTTGTAGCCTCCAGATACGATCTTTTTTCTATGAGGAGACTACATACAGGTTGAAGTCCACTGAATTAGTTAAAACAAAATGAGGTCTTGAGTGTGTCATCTGTTGCCTCCTTACTGCATCATCTGATTTGTATGCCTCAGTGTGGAGTAGGAATTGGTCTTTTGTTTCCAGGGCAAACACTTTCCAGGGTGGTCTACTAACTGCACATGGCCTTAAGCACCTGGGCCCAAATGCTACAATAGACAAATGTAGTTCAGTGGTTCTTGGCTGGAGGGTGGTTTAAAGTGTTCACAGTGTTACTGGCATCTAGAGGGTAGAGGCTGGTGATGCTGCTAACCATTTTATAATGCATAGGACAGCATCCTACAACAAAGAATTATCCAGCCCAAAATATAGCAGTGCTGAAGTTGAGAAACCCTGGGTCAGATAACACCAACCATATATATGTATTTCCTGGTTCAAGCAGGAACAGGAATGAATGAAATGGAAATCAATAACCAAGGTCTCAACAAGCCTGGGGATATCAGATTGAAGGAGAATTCAGGGTAAGAAAGAATAAAATTTGGGGTAACCTCAGTTCATCATGCACACAGTTCAAAATATGCACAAATTAATGTGAAAACAAATAATCTAGATTGTTCCGATCTGATCACATCATTCCCCTACTTAAAACGCCTTCAGTAGTCCTTCATGCCTGAGATTAAATACTGTCTCCTGAACAATGCACTCTGAGCACTCTGTCAGCTGCCTCTGCATCTCTCTCTGGCTTCACCTCTCTCAGCCCCCTCACTGGATGGTGTCCCATGACCTCCTGACTTCCCTGGCCTCATCCTCCTTGACCTCTTGTCAGCAGTTGATAAAGCTTCCCCCTTCCTTGGCATCCAATCTACTGGCCTCTTCTGCTTCTCCTTTTACCATGCTGATTACTCCTTTCCTTTCTCTGCCTTTGTTTTCTCTTTCTTCTTAGTTGAGGGTGGACCTTAGGGAGTGGGGCATGACCACATTTTTTCTTGTCTAATACCAAATGCTTTCAGTGTCCAGGAAAATAATGTACATTAGTAAAGAGGCCAGGTGCTTGCATATTAACATGTAGAAATTCTTTACCCACACTAAGAGAGACAGTCCTTACCATTTTTCTTGAAATTCACAACCCTCTCAGTCTGACTTTTTACCTTCCCCTTTTTGATAGAAATAGACTTATAGAAAAATATTTTCTACTATAAGAAAACCAACACTGCAAGGGCAATAGCAACTACATTTGCATTTTAGAGAAACAGCTCTATTGAGATAATTTGCTATCATACATCCTCTGATTTCAAGTGGCTTTTGCTATATTCACAGAGATGTTCAGTCATCACCACCATTAACTGTAGAACATTTCATCCCCCTAAAAAGAAATCCCACACCCACTGGCCACCAGTCCCCAACACCCCATTCCCTGCCTACCTCCAGTTCTTGGCAACCATTAACCTATTTTTTCTTTTTCTCCATAGATTTAGTAACTGACTTTCAATTAAAGCCTTAGGAGATGAGGGGAAGTGGTGAGTACTGTGGTGAGTTCGAGAATTCATCCAGGATCTCAAGGGGGCAGTCTCTGTTCAGCTCTAGCTGTTGTTGTCATGTGGCAATGTGAGTTCATAGTTAGTCACATCTTATTTATTTATTTATTTTAAAATTGTAAAAAACTTTTACAATCACATCTTTTGATTTTTAAAAATCATAGTGATATGATTTTTTAATTGTGCTAACATTAAAGTGCAATTTTGATTTTTAAAACGGAAGCCAGAAATCAATGCTTTAAGTATAATTTCCTGATTTTAAAATGTTGGTGTAATATGTATACTTCTAAAAACACACAAATAAACATGTTTTTGAGCCAGATATGCCTCATTCCCATCAAGCCTGCAGTGTCTGCTCCACATGGCATGGCTCCACTTTGAAAAGGATGAGAGCCCATTCGACAAGGTGGATGGTTTCTACGCCTTTGTCTCAACCTTTGGCTTGTCTCAACACTTGTCTTCCATTTTTAACCACAAGAACTGCAAGCCTACATCATAAATTTTAGCACTGTAAATTCAGTATCATCAAAGCAAGCTCATATTTTCCCATATAAATCTACTCCTCCATCTCTGTTCCTTCCTTTGACCCTCCAGTTAATCTGGTTTAAAACCTCAGCTCCATTTTTAAAATGTTTCCTTCTCTCCTGCTTCTTCTCACTTGCAATGAATTGAGAGGTGTTACTGATTTAACTGTAAAATCCTACCTATATCCATCCATTCATTTCTCCTACCTCACCCTTAGATCCATTCCTAACTCTCCATTCCCCCTAACTCAACCTTAGACCCACATTAGCTTTCACCTGGTGTGACTGCTTTAGTTGCCTATTGTCCATGCTGCTGTCACTTTCTCCCTATTAAAGCCATCCTCTGTTTTACTACTTGATTAACCTCCTCCAAGCACACACCTAAGCATACCACCCTCCCATTTACAACCATCATGCTCAAAAACTTTCAGTGGCTCCCAAGTGCCTTCATAGAATTCTAAATTCCTAACACTGGCATTCAAGAACTTTCTACCCTGTGCCCACCTGCCCTTCCAGACTTCTTCCCCCTGCTCCATTTCCCACATCTGTGTTCCTACTCAATCACTTATTTCCCATGCCCCTCCCTCATCTGGAACTCCCCTATGTTCACATGTCCCAAATCTACTCTGCCTTCAATGCTACTTTCTATGTGCCAATTTCTCTAATCTTCACAGAAATAATGTCTTCCTCCTGTAAACTTCTATAATACTTTATTTTACTGTCTCACATTACAATCATTTTCTACCTGTGGTATATTATTTGTGTGTTTTTCTTATCATCTTTAATACAGAGTCATGCTCTGCATAATGATGTTTCAGCAAATGACAGACTGCAAATATGACAGTGGTCCCATCACATTATCATGCAGCTGATAAATTCCTATCACTTAGTGATGTCACAGCACTGGTAACATCATAGCACAATGCATACTCGCATGCTTGTGGTGATGATTGGTAAATAAACCTACTGTGATGTCAGCTGTATAAAAGTACAGCACTTACAATTATGTATAGTACATAATACTTGATCTTACTAGAGTATATGTATTTACTATACTTTTAATCAATATTTTAGAGTCTATTCTACTTATAATAACCAGTTTAGTAAATATAAAAACCAGTTATATAGCTACTATACTTTTATGTATTTACTATATTTTTATTGTATCTATATTTATGTATTTACTATATATACTTTTATGTAGTTTATGTATTTACTATACTTTTAATGTATTTACTATACTTTTAATTATGATTTTAGAGTATATTCTACTTATTTTTGAAAGTTAACTGTAAAACAGTTTCAGGCAGATCCTTCAAGAGGTATTGCAGAAGAAGGCATTGTTATCATAGGAGATGACAGTTTTATGTGAGTTATTGCCCCTGAAGACTTTCCAGTGAGACAAGATGTGGGGGTGAAAGACAGTGATATTGACGATATTGATCCTGTGTAGTCCTAGGCTAATGTGTGTGTCTGTGTCTTAATTTTTACCAAAAAAGTTTAAAAAGGTAAAAAAAACCTCAAAAACAGAAACAAGCTTATAGAATAAGGATATAAAGAAAATGTTTTTGAACAGCTATGCAATGTTTATATTTCAGTTATGTTATTACAAGATCAAAAAGTTGAAAAAATTAAAAAATTAATAAAGTAAAAAAGTGATAGTAATCAAAGGTTATTACTAAAGAAAGAAAAATGCCTCCATCAATGAATGTAGCCTAAGGATACAGAGTTTATGAAGTCTACAGTGGTGTACAGCAGTGTCCTAGGGCTTCACGTTCACTCATCACGAGGTGCACTCACCAACAGACCCAGAGCAACTCCAGTCCTATAAGCTCCAGTCATAGTAAGTGCCCTACACAGGTGTATCATTTTTAATCCTTTTACCATTTTTATTGTACCTTTTCTGTTTAGATGTGTTTAGATACACAAATACTTACTATTGTGTTCCAATTGCCTATAGTATTCAGTACAGCAACATACTGAATGGGTTTGTAGACTAGGAGCAATGG